GTAATATGCTGGTATTTATGGCATTTGACCATTGACATTCCAATGCCACATATCGTATTAGTAGGCCGAATGACCCAAAAACGAATGTAGAGAAGAAAAAGAGCGATAGAATTTCCAGGGGTATATGTAAACATGCCCCCATTCCCTTGTCGAAAGGGAAACAACGTTGCAAGGGAATTAATGTCTTAAGATTTTTTTCAGTTTTAAAGCAAATAATGTTCGCAAATTGTATATAATTCAAACCAAACCTCACTAAAATATTCCCGTATGGAAATGCATTAAAATTTATGCCAGGTGTTTCTTTAAGCCGGCTTTGGCCTTGACAGTTTGAGATTTACGATTAAATGTACCTTCCCCCTTGACAAATGAAGTAGCATCATACTTCATCCTTAATGTTTAGTGGGGTCATGGCCATGGGGTATAATGTCTGCTATAACCACAGTTTTGTCTATGTTGTTCCGGTATATAAACAACACTCAGTGATTCGTAACCCATAATCAAACTGTCGTGAAATTCATGGTTGTATAAATCAGCTTCTTAGTTAGCATTACAACTCTTTCAAGGACATTTTCAAAACATTTCAGGCTGTACCAACAACGGTTATGTTGATAAGATGGATACAAATTTTACAATTAGCATGAATTTCTTTCTATGATTTGATTGGCTTTACGTTTCGATTCTACTATATACGCCGTAAAATCCAAAACAAAATCTAGAGATTAAAGGGACATGAACACATTTGTATTGCTGTTTTCTTACAATTTTGAATTTCTATTTATTATTTGAAAAAAAACCTTCAGTTTAATGACTTGAAGTTACATGAAAAATTTTAATACTTAATGACAATGGTTTTCTTCATAATCTTACACAAAACATCATTGGCACGAGCTCTGGTATTGCTTATATTTACGTTTACCAGATATGTTCGATTTGCTGACATGGCTTACATTACTGACCACAAACTGACAATACTGCTGCGTTGGTTCTGCTTTCTTGCATTTCTTTTTATTTTTCTTTTTTGTAATATAATTTTCTTGATTAAAGTTTTGATATCTTTAGTTAATACACCTAGTTTTCCAATTTTCTTTGAATATTAAGGATAATTTTTGGGTGCAAGAATGTATTACAATCAAACACGCCTGAATTTTGTAGTTTTTATATTTTTCCGATAAAAGAAGTATCTAACAGGTTTTTATGATATATATTGGTTTGAAACACTTTTGCATTACGTATTTCATGAAATTCCACCGAATCTACACAAATCTACTCTAGACAAAATTACCAACGCACCATCGTAGAAAATTATTGTTTACCCTTTTCAGAAGTTGTTTATAGACGTATCTAATATATAAATATGTAACCAGAATTAAAAGTAAGATGTTTAATGCCCAAACAGGTAAATAAATAAATGATAACTGAAGCCTTACTATTTCATAAAAATGCATGAAAATTGTGCTCACACATTTTAAAGGAATATATTTCCATTTTCTTCTTTGAAATTGTGTTCTTTTTGTTTGCATTCATTAGAACTCAAAAAAAAAAAAAAAAGCTGACTATGTAGCGTTGGACAATAGAAGAGCGTGGTAGAGCAGTTGGTATGGTGTCTGCAACAAGGTGTTTCTTTGGAGATGTTTGTTTAAACAAAAAACAATTTTTCTGTTTGTAATGGTGGAAAAGTACTTCATCTACCTTAAGGAATGTGAAAATCTTTTCTGTGGTTAACCCGACATATAGATACGTCACGGCTGTTGATAGATGGTACCATAAAATTGTGGCGACCGGAAGTGTGGACCGGATTCCAAAGCAAAGTGACTACTAGACGACATGTTAGACATCGGCAAATTCGACTGCAGTAGGCATACTCGTGTGAGTAAGTCTGAGTATAAGCTAGACAGATGTCGTTTGTTTGTTTGTATGTTGTTTAACTTCCCTCTCGAGATTTTTTCACTCATATGGAGACGCCACCACTTGCCGATGGAGAGCTGCAAATTTTGTCCTATACTCGGCACTTACGGCCTTTGAGCAGTGAGGGATCTTTTTCGTGCCAGCACCTACTGCGACACGGGACCTCGGTTTATACGGTCTCATCCGAAGGACCGGTCTCCACGTCCCACAGTGGGATTCGAACCCGCGACGTAAGGATCAACTCCTTACTTCGCGACTCTAGAGCAGACGCTCTAAACACTGCGCCACGCGGGCGACGACAGATGTCGTATTTGCAGACGAAAATACCTAGGGTGCGTTAGCAGTTTTGTCTAGTGTATGTCCATGCCCTTTAAGTATAATAATGTGCGATATTAATATATTGGAAGGATAAAAGTAATTTTTTACTACTGATTTATTTCATTGATTTCTTTTTCGTTTTATTCTGTTTGTCAATCGTTAAGCACGGATGTGATCCTGCTTTACATACCCTCTCTAGCATTTCATTGTTCTTTTTGTTGTATCCCGACTCCGACCTGAATTCATTGTTTCTCTACTCCAAAAGATGGAAATAATTAGTTTCAACGTTCTTTCGTTGATTGTTTTTTAAAGTGTATTCAGTTTAAGAGACAGCTTGAAAGGCACACGTCATCCAAAGGAGATAAAATGGTTTTAAAGATATTGATAAATGATCCATGTTTTATTTAGACCCTTTTAATCCCTCTTGAAATCTTTCCTTGTTGAAACACAAAGTAAAATTTCTTAAACAAAGTACAAGTACTACTGCTTGCATTAATGTCCAAGGGAACCTTACTTAGCATGACATTATGGAGAAAAGTCTGCGATGTATAAATCCTGATGATGTATAAAATCTAACCAGAGTCCCCAATTTGTAACTGTTCAAATGTAGAAAATCACATGCATTTAGAATTTTGACCAAATATTACATTTTATCTATTGTTCTTGAGTACTAATCAACTGTATAGGCATTGAAATCTATTTACAAGAAATCTACCAACACAGAGGCGAAATTCGGAACATTTTGTCCAAATATTAGTAATGGGAGAAAACTAGTATTGCTATTTGTGCTTCTGGAAACCCTTCATAGTTTTTTTATGAATGGAAAATGTACACCTCATGAAAAAAATTCCATTCGTTTTTTTTTTTCCGAACATCTTTAAATACAATGAATTGAGGTATATTTTTATGCATAATTTTAGACTTTAGAGGAACCAACAATGAAAAAAAAAACATATATAAATACGATACGTAATGCATATAAAAACTGCTGGAAGTTAATAAGATTTTACTCTCAGAATTGTGGTGTTTGTTATTCTGAATATAAACATATTTTTAATGTACCTAACTTGCTACTTGTACGTATATATCAAATGAACGAAGGCACAACATTTTGTGTTATCTATCATATATTTACGTATGCAGTATGGTTTTATTTATTCATAGATTTCTTCCATCAGAGGTCATAGTTACCTATCTGTCACTGCAGACGTTATCGGTAATACTAAACATGGCAAAGATCCAAAGTTTATTCTCCCTATTTTATGAATGAATGACTTCTCAAGATTGACTTGGGTTTAGTTCCTAATGTAATATTTTGAAATACGTACAATAATCTTCTCATTTTTTGGCATTGCATGGTTATGGGTTTATATTCAATTGCAATAAAAAAAAAAACAAAAACAAAAACACAAGAACGAATTCTTTAAAAAATGTATAAAGCTTTTTAATTATTTTATTGGTAAATTTACGATTTAAAATCGATTGCTTTTACCTCAGATTTATTGACTTGTGTTGGTTTCAAATTTGCAATGCGTCTATTTCTTTTGCTCTTAAACCGTAAATAAGTGTATTGATCAATCTATTAAAGAAAGTTTCAACATGGATTTGGTGCACATTCGCTCATAATGAAACACTTTACCCTTCGCGTGTACACGTGTTTTGAAACATGAAACGGTTAAGTTACAAGTTTTGCCTACAAATGTCCACAGGCCAATGTTTCAATTGAAAACACCACAATCATTGGACGTTTCTATGTGTTCCATGGAATTTGAAAATTAAATCGTTCATTGTATTAACTTTTACTAAACACTAAAGAGGAGCATTTTTGAATTGTGATACAGTATAAGGTTGTTCGGATCTTGAAGTTAAAAATTTTTATATTAACCTACAGTACCCAAATTCAATAATTTCATAAAACATGAAGAATATGTGGAACATAATAGGTTTAAATTTAATTATATCACAAAATGAAATTTAACCTTTTCTTTATATTTTTTTTCCTAGAGCCTTTCTGAAATGAGTTTCGTGCAAAAAAAAAAAAAAAAAAAAAATTAAGAGAAATACTGGTGTTATTCGCACAAGTGAGATTTGTAGGCAAATTCATTTTAATGTAATAATGCACCTGACATGTTATATCAATCCTGATTAAAAATTCGTCGAGAGAAAAATACAACCATCACGAGTACGCTTTTCCAGGGCGCCGGAGCTATGCGGAGAATGTACCGAAAACAGCAAATGGTCTCCGAGTAGAATAGATGAAGCTCCTCTAAAATGATCATAATACGGTCCTATCAAGTTATATTTTATTATTCTCAGATAACATTCATTGATAAAAGATCGTTATTACACAAAATCTCTACAATCCCCCTGTAAAGCCGGCCCTAATTAGGAAGGTTTCTTTGGAGGAAAGGTATATGAATGCTCCGTAAAGCATGGTTAAAACTCCTTAGTCATTGCCGTGTGTGTCTATGAGTATTAAACAGAGTTAAAGATGACATAAAAACCACTTTTCTTTACAAATCAAAAGAATTATCTTTGAAATGACCCAAATAATATTAAGTATTTACAACCTGTGTCTTAGTTGATAACACAAGACACCACAAAGAATTTTCTCCTTTTGCTCAAATTCTTGTATCAAAATTGATGCCCTTGTTTTAAAAATCATAACAAAAATTGAATTTCTATTTATTTGAAACTATCTGCATTTCTCTATTCCAGTGCAACTTATTCTCCGATTCTGTAGAAACCACCACATACAAATGAGGACACGCCAGGCTTTTTTTAAAATTTATATTGTTCTTCTGTGTTTAATTTACCATAATAACATCAAAAAAATTACAACATTTCAAAACAAAATTTTAACAAATAATGCTATTACGAACATAGATTTCTCTCAGAATGCCATTTTACATAGCTAGTTCAAGAGCCTCAATCAAATCTGTGAACAGAATGATATATCCAGTTATTCAAAAACGAATATGTTTCAATATATGTTTACTTTTGCTTAGTTAAAGGAAAAACTGCTTCAACATTCAATTTTAGTGTTTTTTCATTCATGTTGAAAATCACAAAAAATCTTTTCCTGTATATATATATATAAATAAGAAAATATTGCTCACTTAGCAAGCGTTCACAGATGTACATAAACGGATTTCACTGAGAGAGAAGAGATAAAGAGGTTTCTTGTTCAATAACTACAATAAATAAACTGGTCAATGATTCATGACAATATGTTTGATGATTATCATGCCGTATATACAAATTATGAAGGAATAATTTGATTTTAGACACGTCTTGGATGACCTGTAAAACATTTTTAGTTCATATTAAATGCTGGATGGGGCAAGATAGTATAGATAAAAAAATAAATAATGACAGTTGCTTGCACGAGGTTTACATTGATATAACTGAAACAGATGAACAGTTTTGGGGTGTCCTTGTCTACATTAAAACTGTAATACAATTGCCAAGTGTAATATATTGTCATCTGTTAACAAATACCGCACATTGTAACTTAGATCACAGACGAAGCAAGTGTTACTTGAAATCTATCGCGCATGCGTAGCACAAGCCCTCTTTCGAATTATTTTGGACTAGGTTGAGACGATCTTTGTTAAATCGTTACTCCATCACAGTGTGCGCACGCATACAAGTATTGGTGTGTTCGATTTTATGAATGCGCTATCACACTAACACTTTGGCATTATAAAGGAGTTTTTCCTAATAATCACTGGTTTGCTTCACGTTTTCATGTTGTTATATTGAAACAAACGTCTTCTATTGCGTCTAATTTTATTTCTATTTCTTAAGTGCCTCTTGCTTTTGCTTCTGTTTTTCCTGTTTCGTCGTCGTCCTCTGCGATTTTTTCGTTTTTTATTCACAATTTTACACTTGCACGACTTGACAACTTTCACAGTTCTCGTCCTGATCGTGCCGTCCTTGCAGATTAACTGAATTTTCTTCCTTTTCACTTTGTCATTAACACATCGGTATTCTTTTTGTTTGTTATTTGACCAGTACTTGACAAATTCTGACCACCATTGGACTTGGAGTTCTTTCATAGGTACACATGAACCCACACAAACGTCTTCAATAATAGGTTTAGTGGAGTAACAGTTTCCATCGGAAAAGTATCTCTGGGACCTTAACGCCTTGCACTGCACTAGGACATCGTCTATCAAAGAAAACAAAATCAGTAAACCCAAAATTATTTCAATCACAGGACTTTATAACAATCATGATTTTTTATATATGTTGTAACTTTATTGATAGTGTGAGCAACATCGAGTATGAGTGCTTGTGTTGGCTTTTGGACTTAATTTGTTATCATACATTTGTCTTTAATTTGTCATATTTCATCCCCAGAGTAACAGGATCTTTATGTTGAAAGACGGTTGAAGGTGGATCAGCATATATTCTCTTCTAGAACTATGTACTCTTAGTGGTTAAATTCTAACGTTAATAATAATTTCAAAAGATAATCCGCATGGATCACGCGACAGTATACGAAATTATTTGTTTAATTTACAAATCTTTTAAGACGGATTACCAACCACATTAATTCGTTATGTTTTGTCTTTAGTTTAAGGAATCTACAATAGATCCCTCATAATTCTAATTCCTTAATTGATAAGAAAGGAAGGCAATTACAATTAAATGGAATGTGCTTCTAAATCCGTAAATATCCTCTTTTATGGCAATATAAGATTAAACCTCTCTAATATAGTCAACTTTTCCCTTCAGTCAGAACTGTCAAGATTACGCAGTTTGTACGATATGTTCTTGTTAACTGCATTGGGAGAAAACGTACTCTATTCGATTTTCAAGTTGAATCCTTTCTTAAAACAGAAGTATTTCATTTTCTACTCATTCACAGAAGGGTCAAAAGTGGATAAAATTGTATGTAGAAATGTCCTTTTTTGTGAAAAATTGAACAAAATGGAAAATCTAGATTAAAAAAGCATCCTAATATTGGAAACTTTAAAATTTGCAACTAAGCAGTATCACTCTTAAATAATTTATAGCTTCAGTATTTGGTCAACTGTTTAATGATAGGATTCTCTGATAGTTATATCTATTCAAAGACACCGTCCCAATCGTCTCCATTTATTCTTGATTTTTCATCCTTCATTGAGGATGTGTCAAGACTTCTCTTTTGAGATGTGAAATAATTTTCCTTTCTCCACAACTTCATTACTGGCAGAACTAAATACCTGTATACAGCATTTTATTTTTTTAATTTTATCACATTGGCCCCTTAGTTTTCCTTCATTAACTACCCAAAAACCGTGACTCTTACAAGAAAGAAAGTGTGTTCAGACCTATAAATAATATTTGAATACGATATGCAAAAACACTTTAAGTTCACTTTGGATGAAACGACACCCTTCACCAAGTTTATCGTTTTCATTCATTTACCACGATAAGTGGGGTCTTTACTGAAACCCAGACAGACTTGAAGTAAAGAAAGGGAGAGTTCTTTTCTTACAGTGCAAAGCCACTTCCATAGAAGTTTATGCAGAGAACCGCAAAGACAGAATTAATATGAAAGGATCGTAATCCTTTTGGTTAAATGTGACAAATTGATATTTGACAGCATTAACAAAGCATGTTTTTTTTCATCAGAAGAAGGCATTCTTTCAATGAAAAATAAAAATCTAGTATTTTCTTTCTACAAGGTCGAAATTGACATGTTCATCAAGTCAACCTTGTACGTTGATGACGTAACAAACTAAAGAACATCAATTTTCACCTAGTATCGAGAACACGGAGGTTGCAATTTTCTGCATTCTGTACATGCAATAATTATATAGTTTTATTCTGTTTTAGTAACATTTAAATGATTAATTTGATTGTTATTGAGTCATTTTAAAACGAAATATTTACACATGGGTTATATAGTCGATAGTCAGTGACGTCATTAAACGGGGTTGCTGACCCAATTTGTTTGGCTCAAATCAAAACGAAGTTTTGTGCCAAACACAAAACATCACAAACTACTGAGCTTTATCCAATCGTACCTTGTCTAGCGTCTAAATGTAATGAATTTACGATCATCCCAGACTGTTTTACCTGATTTTTATGGCCACTTGTCAACATATGTATATTTATACATGGACTAGAGCTGACCTACAAAACTGAGACTACTATCTTTAAAAATACACAAGTTAATGTTATCAAAGGTTTACAGATTTTATAATTGCTAAACACATATATCTAGACCTGTAAAAGGTTATCAATCGACGTGACTGGGTATCTATGTCACTCCAGCTGCACACGTGGGGCTAAACAAACTTAGATCTGTGTGCCTTTCTCACTTCGTTCATTCACTAATCCTTACAAAGTCAAAAACTGAAATCGCTAAGCGATCGTTTTCTACGGTGGCCATGAATATCATTAAGTGAGAGATTAGACACAGAAATCTTTAGTCTACAATTATTGTACCCAAATGAATAAAATACTCATTGATGTCTTTTTTTTTCATTTGCGTGTTCTTAGTCAGAGAGTGTACATCCAGAATAAATATCTTTTTTTTATTCAACAAGCATATTGACACAGATCTCAACCAAACAGACTTCAAGACTAACAAATGGTTTACTTTGAGTCCTATCGACCTTCAATGTGCAGTTCCTTGATGTTCGGCGGCGCAATGAGTCACAAAGATTCACCTGGATATGTCCTTTCATGAATGAACGCCACATTATGAATGGATTGACAAAACTGTGCTGTCCCGAAATACTACACAGTGGTTATACGAAAGAGTGATTGATAGAAACAAAAGAATATGATACTGTTTCTTGTCAGTGATAGAGAATATTTATGATTGACAAGGGTTTTTTTTTTTTTTTTTGTTCATTACCAGGAGAGACAATCACTTCTTCTAATCAATAATCTAGCTGTTTTACATCTTTACATTGACTTCTTTGATCTTTAACTGGGTTTTAAAAAGATTTCAGTCTACGTTTGGTAAAATCTGCCAATGCTTGTTCAATTTTCTTTTTTTTTTATAATTAATATTTTTATTTGGGTCTCTCTTTTTTTTTTTTTTTTTTTTTTTTTGGTTTCATCAACATTTTAATTGCACTTAAATTGTGAGTGTGTACTTTACTGCAGAGTAGGTAATATGTGCTCATGCAGTCAAACCTAACAGAGCAGGTCGAAAAGCTCTATCACACAAAAAAAATATAGCCAGGAATAAAAGTTAAGAGGGCATTACCTCCAACAAAATTTCACACTGTTGAAACTTCAGGGAACATGCAAATTAACAATTCGTGATATCGAATGGACATAAATCCGTGTCGAACATTCCCTAATTGTGTCAAATAAATTCAAGGATAGCTTAAATCGGAAATGTTTACACCGAATAAAGAATGAAATAATGAATGCAATATTGACACGTTTGAGAGTTGTTCTCAAAGCTTTTTGCTCTGACGTGACGTTGACTGTCGTTTGACATCCGTTTTGACATTCTGGGGACCGTATTGCGGTCTTAATGATTAAGTTTATACAAAAACCGACTGAACGCCTCTCCAGTATTTCTAACAACACAAAACAAGAGAACATATTTGAAATTATAAAGCCCTGACAAACTGCACTTGCCACTGTGTTTTTGTTTTACAATTTTTTCTGGGATAAGAAGAAAGAATTACTAATATGCACTGAAGGGTCAATTCCTCCATGTATTTAGATGCAGGTTTATTATTGACTTTTTTACCATGTTTTTATACCTATAATGTACACATAGAGCACCTTTCTTATTACAAAAAGGGGAATCAAAACACGCTTTTTATGTGGTAATATTCCATTTAAGGTCTCCATTTCTCTTGATGTTGTGTTAATAAGCCATAAAAGTAGCAAGAAAAAAATTGCGTGGGACACTGATGTTCTTGATGGGGACGGGGACGATGTAGGTATTAAGACAATGTTACTCTTGCGGAAAAGACAATATGTTTCCTTTTTGTTCTCTATGTAGAAACAAAAGCCAAAGGAAAATACTTCAAAAGGTCGAATTGGATTTATTTCATTGATACGCACAGAGAACACTATATGCATCCTTGAAAATCATAATTATTCCAGAAGGTTAATTGTATGTCATTCATCCACCCTCGCTTCTATGAATATCGCAAAAAGTACTTATCGCCTAGAAGCAGTGAATATCATTTAATTGTCTTTTCAAGGAAGTATACCTTTTGCTCAGAATCAATTAGATTTTTTTGCATTCATTGATTTACAATTATTTCATTTATTTCATTTACGTACATGTACTTATCATCTTTTATCCAGCGAATGCATTTTAGGTATAGAATTGTTAACAAAATTTGGGGGCGCACTATTTCCACTGTTGCCCATTTTAATTCAAATATCTGATTTTAAAATCCTATTTAAGATAGATATATGAGGGATGCTTGATTAAAAATTTGCCGTACGTAGAACGTAACCTAGACACGAAACACTCTGTCAATATTAAATTCGACCACAATACATAGATAACGCCCATCCTAGTCAATGAAAACACCCCAAAACTTGACTTTTTATTGATACATGTACAATCCGGATCCTATACGTATTCTTAGATTCACATTAAGTACATTAAATTTAAAAGTATCTTGAAATTTCCAACATTTCCTGTGTTCTTAATCTGATTTTACAGGCAATAAAAGATTTTTTAAATTTTTTTTGTCCAAACTAGGTCATTTTATTAAAACGCTTTTTTGGGGATATTTCTTGTAAAAGTGCAGTGTACATGCAAGTGAATTATTAATTCAATTTTTTTATGCAATGTTTCTTCTTGGTTCATTAGGTCCATCTCTTCTTTGTATAGTCATTAGCTTAATAGGTATCTTTAACATAAAGTTTTCCAATAGTGTTCCCATATTTTTGATAAATTTTGATTGATGAACTTTACTAATAGAAACAAAAAGTGTTTTTGCATTCCCTATTTATCCAACAGCATATAAAAATAAAACCCGGAAGTCATTTAGCAGAAAACTGAATGGAGTTGAAAGACATGAGCATTTTGTTGCTGAATTTTTTTTTACCGTCATTATTGTGTAAATGTCACCTTTGACTTAACTCTATTGCAATAGCAATTCAAATAGATAATAAAGCAGTACAAGAAATGATGAATGGTGTTTCTTAAAAAATATATTAATTTTGATGCGATAACTAGTGTGA